TCCCATTCTCCATAACAACCTCATTCTTCTTAGGGTATAATTCTGGGTGTAGCGCATAACACTCCTGTTCATTGTGTCCTTGTAACCTGCAGTTCACACAATATTTAGGGACATAATCATATTTTATTCTGATCCATTTTTCCACGACTTCCCCAGATTGCTTTATAACCCCAATATTAATTCATTTTGGGAATTCCCCCAATAGATCCACCTTCACCTTGACCCTCGCATAGCAAGGTCTTGTCTGGTTTTGAATCGCCATGTCCACCTGTAATGGGTTCCCAACTGCAGCAGCAAGAGAAAATATCGCTTGCTTCACACAAAAATTTAGTGGGAGTCCTGGAAAGGATATCCAAGCTATGACTATTGTCATTTCCTCCTCCGGGTCGAACATAGGATCCTATTTGAGTGTCCTCATGGGATATGACCATTGTTGTTGCGTTAAATAAAAAGCTGGTTTAGATAGCAATTTGACGTAATCCTCCATGATTAAAACATGTCTATTTCCCAACAATCCAATATTGCATTCACCTTTGAGTTCACATTGTTTCGGAATTATCTTTCGTAGTTTGTTGATTTCTGGCATTCCATAGGAAAATTTCCCAATTACATCATATTGTAAATTTTCCTTGTATATCATCTGTGTGACTTCCTCCTCTTCCCATATAATTCTTGGTTCCCCATGAAGGTAAGAAATTGGCCTCATTGTTACTGGTTTACTACTCAGTGGACTTGGTCGTAAAATAGCGACATAGTTTCTTGTCATTGATGGATTTGATTGGCTTTGACCAGTCTCCGGAGGAGGCTGGCCGAGGATGGTGGCCATGGTCACTCGTGAAACTTGGTAAAAGGGTAATTAAGGTTTGCAGCGGCTAGGTTAGAGAGCGTTCTTTGAGCTTATTGATTTGAAATAAGTTATGAGCATGCATTATTTTTCCTATATATAAGTGATTCCAACTCCCAAATTCGTTCATTCACTTCATTCTCTTCAAATTCACCAAAAAGAAGAATAAGTCTCCTCTCTCAAATATTTCTCTCTCTAGAAAGCTTGAAGAAGAAGGATACGACCTAGGGTTCCAAATCAAGTCTCCATTCCTCCATTGAAGATAGACAATTGGCTTTGAGGTATGATAGTTATTCACAGAGTTCCCAAATTCTCCTATTTTATATATTAGAAATCCCCAATCGAGTTAGGGTTTTCTTCAATTGTCATGGGTTATCTTGATTGTTCATTTAAATGATTGAATTATCATCTCTTATGCATGAATTGATGAAATACTATGATTTTATGATGTTTCCCCCTATAAACCTATATAATCCCCATGTTCTCAAATTATGATCATGTGATGTGGGATTTTGATTATGAAGGAAGAGTTTTATGAAATCAAGCATCTATTGATAAAATTACGTGAAATTATGATGAAATCTATATCTAACCCATGGTTTCTAAATGTTGATGATTGAAAGTGAGTTTTGAACCTTGAAAGGTAAATTATGGAATTATGCATGTTCTTATGAAATCTATGCAAATATTTTAAGGATGCTTTGAGAGTAAAGTATCAATGATGATGTTGTTGTTGTGTTGTTGAAAGGATTTTCTCATATACACATGAAAGCATGATTTTGAAAGGTTTTCTCACATAATAAGGATTCTAAGGTTGAAAGGTCTTCTCACCTAATTAAATCAAAGATTAAGAGCTATCCTAAAGAAACCTAGCTTGGATTGGTCATTGAATGATACCTCTCCATGGATAATGACTTAGCTTGGATTGGAAAGATGATGTGCCCTTCCATTGATAATAAGAACAAGTAAGAAATGACTATTCCGTGGGATTTATGCTTAGCACCAAAAGGATATTGAGATGAAATCTCTCTCGTTAGTAGAGGCCGGGTTTCTAGAAGCAATCTCTTTATCCCTTACCTATGTACCCCCATAGAGTGATTGTCTAGATAGACATTAGCTAGTGGATCCACCTAAACTAGAAGTTCATGGTCCTTACCTTGGCAAGTAGGACAACCTTTTTCGGTGTGGGAGACATCGGTGGATCATGTTATAGCTCACATGGTCTCTATGTCGGTTAAAGGCTAATTCCAACAATAATAATGAACTAAGGTTATTTCAAGAAGTATCACATTTGTGTTCAAAGGCTATAAAGATGTTAGCTTGCATTGACCATGTTTTATGACTTATGTTTTTTAAACCCTTTTATATCGTGTTTTAGCTTGGTCAATTGATGTCATGAAATGTCTTTTTAGCATGATTTAAATGTTTTATACATAACTATCATACTTGGTACATTGTTTTGTACTAACACATACTCTTGCCTACATTTCCAAAAATGTAGGGCCCGACAGTCAGGTTTCTCATTTTCGTGGCTAGTGGTTAATTACAAGGTTTCCAAGCTTTGGTGAGTCTTCATGCTTCAAGGAGGGATTTTATTGTTTCAGTTTTCTTTCATATTTCCAGTTTTGTACATGATTTATGGGCTAGGCCCAATTTCATTCTATTGTACTAGATGGCTAATGAGACAAAGTGTTTAGACTTCCTCTTTACTTTTATAAAAACTTTAGACTTGAAATGTTGTCTTTACCTCCTTTGTTCTATTTCTTATGTTATGAATGCTAAGTGGCTTGTATGGGGCCTCTTGGGGTCCTATACGCTATGTTACATCTAGGGGGTACCCTTGGGTCGTGACAAACTTGATATTTAGAGCACAAAGTTTAGAATGATCCTAGGATGTCTCATAAGCCACGTCGAGTAGAGTCTTGTTCATGAGTGTAAAGCGCGCCACATTTATGAATAAGAGGCTAAAAGATGATGAGGTAACTCCACTTCTTCATTACTCTAAAGTCATATGATAAAGTTTAACTCTATAAGGTCTCTCTCCTAATCCTTATCTGATACTCTACATGAGATGGCTACTTAAAGAGCTTATGCTAGAAGGAATGTAAGGGAGAATGCGGAACAAGAATCTCCTTCTAGAGCTCCTCAAGTTCCGGTCAATCCTTTGGCCGAGCAAGTCACTAATGCGGAGTTTAGGGTTGCTTTTCAAATGTTGGCTAAAGCCGTGACATCCCAAGCCAATAGGGAGGTTACGGTTACCATGAACCAAAATATGGGTACATCAGTATCTAGAGTAAGGGACTTCACTAGGATGAATCCTCCAGAGTTTCAGGGTTCTAAGTTTAAGGAAGATCGTCAAGAGTTTATCGATGAGGTTTATAAGGTCTTGATGATCATGGGAGTGACGCCGGTCGAAAAGGCGGAGTTGGCCACTTATCAACTAATGAGTCCATAAATTGGACTCATTTAGGGCTATATTTTAATAGAAATTGTGTCCTCAAATGTTTATTTTATCTCAATATCTGATGAAAACCCTTAAGTTTCAGGTATTTGATATTTTAAGGAAAGCATGGACACTACGTTCAAAAAAGTAATGAAGAGGCTGAAAAGAACGAAAAAATGAAGGCCTGAGGATCGCCGAGTCCACTTGGCGAGTCACCGAAAGGTCTTACTTCTCCTTTTATTCCAGTGCGCTAAGCCCTGAAGGAAACGATCAAGTCAGCGGAAAAAGGGAGCAGTCGGTGCATCATCGAGAAGTTCTGTGAAGCAGTACCATGTCACCCAATGACATAGAGCACGACGATGTTGAGGGCTAGTGCAAGACGACGATGAACTACACCAAAGGGTGAATCGCCAAGTTGATCGGTGATTCCGACTAACGACGTCGAATGATCCACTGCATCAAAAATCTGTGAAAACTATAAATACTAGTTAGAGTTGTAGTTTTAAGTGTGGAACAATTATTATAATTTTCACTTAGAATTGAACGATTATTATAATTTTCATATATAATAGTACTTTTTAGTATTTTTGCTCTAAGCTTGAGAGGGTTTTGAAGACTTGTAGCAAAAGAGGGTTTCATCTCCAAGGATTTGGACTTGGGTCACTTGGATTCTTCATTCTTGGCCTATAACAAAACTTAAATCTTCATACCCATTTGAATGCAAGCTCATTTAGGTATAAATTTCTATCTCTTGATGTGTGGCTAAAAACCCCAATTCTTGGGGTGTGATTTAGCGAATATGGGTTAAGATAATTATTTGGTCTTGCTTGCTGATAGTTTAATCGTAGTTTAATTGTAATTTCGTTTGGTAGTTGTGGATGAATTTAATGAATTTGTAGTTGCAAATAAAAGTTTATTTATGTGTTTTGGCTTGCTCGAGAGAGAGGTCGTAATACTAAGACCACTAGATTGATGGCCATTGTGAGTGGGTTGACATGAGGTTCAACTAGAGAGAGTGAACCCTAGTCCCATGTCCACACACTTAGCTCGAGAGAGTAAGTGGGTTAAGGCGTAAGCTGGTCTTCATGCGGCAAGTGGGTGTCCGAGAGGAACGCATTTGAAACGTGGTAAGTTGCTTGAGAGAGAGCTTATTCCCCTTAAAGTCTAGCCTAGTCACAATTACTCTATGAAATATCTATTGAAAGCATGTACCCAATAATCTAGCTTAATCTGTATTCCGTCACATCCCAATGATCCCCTCTCATTAGTTATAAACCCTTGTTATTTAGCAATTTTTGCCTTATTTGTGACAACCTCCCCCCCCCCCCCCCCCCCTCTCTCTTCCACTGTTTTTCTTCTTGGATCTCATTGTTAATTGACACTCTTGTGTCCCCCTTTAATTTACAATATTTGTAATCATTAATGTCTTTAGCTACGACTAGTTAGAACTAAATTTTATTTTTTTATTAATTTTCAAAACCACTCTCTTGGGACGATCCCAACCCTTGGTTGGGTTACTAAACTATTGTACGATCGTAGACACTTGCATCGGAAGTTGTGTCTTGATTATGCAAACATCAAAATGGCGCCGCTGCCGGGGAGTGGTGTTATTTGAGAATTTTTAGATTAGTAGAATGTTTGTTCTTCTTAGTTGTAGTTTACTCACTTAATCTTCAGTTTTGTTTTGAGTATTTGTGTGTCATAACAGGACATATGACAGCAAATGGGGAGAATAGTTGCCAAGCAGGTCACCCAGCGGGTGGTGCTTTTTATCGAGACGACATCGATGATGTTAATAGTGTTTATAACCTTGCCCGTGTGGGCGAGATGGGTGCAATTTGCATGCCACAAGTCGACGGAAACGGAATGTTCGAAGTTACTAGCGCAACACTCCAACTCATACATTCAAGAGGTTTATTTGGAGGGTTAGAGCATGAAGATCAACAAGAACATATACGAAGCTTTGTGGAAGTGTGCACCCCTTTATCGTTCAAGAATCTATCTCAAGAATCCATACGGCTTCGCTTATTTCCATTATCATTGACCGGGGGAGCTACTAAATGGTTGGTCGAGCTTCCAAACAACTCCATCAAATCATGGGAAGAGCTGGTTATGGCCTTTCACGAAAGATTCTTTGCTCCTTCAAGAATGATGAAACTGAGAGATGACATTAAGAATTTCAAGCAAAATGAGGGTGAACCAATTCACGAATCATGGACAAGGCTCAAGAGATTTTTGTGTAAGTGCCCAACATATGGACTGCCAGGTGAATTGTTGATCCAATACTTTTACCGTAGTTTGGACTCGGTTAATAAAGGAATAGCTGATCAATTGGTGCAAGGAGGAATAATGTTACAATCATTTGAAGTAGTCTCATTCCTCCTAGATGGCATGACTAGAGTAAATCAAGCATGGTACACAAAAGATGACCAAGTTTCCTCACTATGCTTCAGATTAACGCAAGAACAACTCAATAAAGAAAGAGAGAGGGACGAAAACATCAAAAAGATGTTGTCCCAAATGAAAGTGATACAAAAGCACATGAACCAAGGTTCTTCTTCTGGTTACTTAAGACCGGGGGAGAACCAAGGTTGGAACTCCACAAGATATAAGGAGGGTTTCCACCCACACTATCACCAACGGGGCAGAAATCAAGGTTTGAATCATTATAGAAGTGAAGAACCAAGGAGATATTGCCACGATTGGGCTGAACAAAATGACAATGAGGAAGACCATACTCAATTGAGTGAAAGCCAAAAATCAAAAGGGAGTGCAAGTAGTCCTCGGGTAAATGATTTATTGTCACGCATACTTGATAAAGTTGAGGGCTCCGATGACTTGCTAAAAGGGATGAGAAATGACTTTTCTTCATTAAACAGTAAAGTGAATTCTCATGATGATGCAATCAAAACTCTAGAAGGTCAATTGCGTCTATTATCAGCTCAATTAACATCCAGGACACTGATGGAAGATAATGAAAGAGGGCTGGTTGTAGTTACCCGAAGAGGAAAGATGGAAAAAATGAATGTGATGGAGGATGAGGACCTTCGAGTGCAGGAAGAGAGTCAAGGTATAGAGGAACGAGAATTGCCTATTCCACAAAACCTTGCCAAAGAACCACAAGAGGATGCAGAACAACATGTTCAAGTTCCAAAAGTGACGCACCCTTTACCCAAAATACCTCCACCATTTCCTCAACGTTTGAAAATGAAGAAGGAAGATGAGAAGTTCAAAAAAAAATTGTCAGTATTCAAGAACCTATCAATTGATCTTCCTCTGGTGGAAGCATTGTCGGAAATGCCGGGATACGCCAAATTCATGAAAGAGTTGGTTACAAGGAAAAGGAGCTTGGACTATGAAACAATTGAGGTGCCCCATAGTTGCAGTGCAATTATGACAAATGAGTCAATCACAAAGAGAGAAGACCCTGGGGCATTCATAATCCTGTGCACAATTGGCAAGCTCCAATTCGCTAAAGCTTTGTGTGATTTAGGAGAAAGCATTAACCTGATGCCTTATGCTATATACAAGCAAGTTGGTTTGGGTGAACCAAAGGCAACCACAATGAGACTCCTTATGGCTGATCGATCAATCAAGCACCCAATGGGGATACTCTATGACATATTGGTAAAAGTAGATCGGTTTATCTTTCTGGCTGATTTTGTGATTCTAGATTGTGAGATCAATGCTGAGATCCCCATTTTTTTGGGAGGGCCATTCTTAGCTACCGGGAGAGCATTAGTGGATGTCGAAAGCGGGAAATTGAAGTTTCGTGTGAATGATGATGAGGTGACCTTTAATAACTGTAAATCCATGAAGCAACCAAGTAATATCCACGTGGTGTCTACTGAGGATGTAATTAGATGAGGCAGTGGAAAGTGTGAGCCATTTAATGCGTAAGAATGAACCCCTTGAATCTGTACTTGCCAATTATGATGAATTCGAAGTTCAAGGCTATGAGGAAGTGGTAGCTTCCTTATCAGGGTTAGGAGTATATTCAAGGAATCCAATCAATTTGGATATTGACCTGAAGAACAGAGAAAGTCCTCCTGCAAAGCCATCAATAGAAGAACCATCGAATCTAGAGTTAAAAGCCCTACCCTCTCATATCAAATATGCCTTCTTAGGAGCCAATAATACGTTACCAGTGATTATCCCAGCCGATTTGCTTAAAAGGTAGGTGAAATTGCTCATTGAGGTACTACGGAAGCATATAAAAGCTATTGGATGGACAATAATCGATATAGTAGGAATTCCTCATGGCATCTGTACTCACAAGATTCGGCTCGACAGTGAATGTAAACAGAGTGTGGAGCATCAACGAAGATTGAACCCTCCAATGCAAGAGGTGGTGATAAAGGAGATCATTAAGTGGCTAGATGCGGGAGTAATCTACCCTATTGCAGATAGTAAGTGGGTAAGTCCGATGCAATGTGTACCGAAAAAAGGAGGTATAACCGTAGTCCCAAATGCAAAAGGAAAACTTGTGCCGACCAGACTAGTGACTGGGTGGAGAGTATGCATGGACTATCGAAAGCTTAACTCATGGACCGAGAAAGACCATTTTCCAATGCATTTTGATGGACCATATTCTTGACTGGTTATCAAAAAGAGGGTGGTATTATTTTTTGGATGGGTACTCCGGTTAAAATCAAATCTCGATTGCGCCGGAAGACCAAGAGAAAACCACTTTTACTTGCCCTAATGGAACATTTGCATTCAAAAGGATGCCATTCGGGCTATGTAATGCCCCAACAACATTTCAGTGTTTCATGTTGTCTATTTTTGCGGATATGGTCGAAGACTCTATGGAGGTATTCATGGACGACTTCTCAGTCGTAGGGGATACGTTTGAATAATGCTTGACACACTTAGGGCAGGTACTCCAAAGATGCGTGGAAACGAATCTGGTTCTGAATTGAGAGAAATGTCACTTTATGGTGAAAGAAGGTATCGTTCTTGGGCACAAGGTGTTGCAAAAGGGGGTGGAAGTTGACAAGGCGAAAATTAAAGTCATTGAGAAATTACCCTCGCCGATTTCAGTGAAGGGTGTTCGCAGCTTCTTGGGACATGCAGGGTGCTACCGAAGGTTCATTAAAGACTTCTCAAAGATTGCACACCTATTATGCAAACTCTTAGAGAAGGAAGTGAAATTCTATTTTAATGATGCTTGCATGGCTACATTTCAGTGTTTGAAAAAGAAACTAGTGTCCACCCTGATCATCATCAGCCCTAATTTGTCCGAATCTTTTGAATTAATGTGTGATGCTAGTGGTATGGCATTGGGGGTCGTGTTAGGGAAAAACCACAATAAACTATTTCACCCAATTTATTACGCAAGCAAGAATCTAAATAGTGCCCAGAAAAATTATACGATCACGGAACAAGAGTTGCTTGTAGTGGTCTATGCATTTGAAAAGTTTTGGGCATACTTTCTAGGCACCAAAGTAATCGTACGTACTGATCATGCTGCACTCTGTTTCTTGATGAAAAAGAAAGATGCAAAACCAAGATTGATAATGTGGGTGCTACTATTACAAGAATTCAATTTTGAGGTAAAAGATCGAAAATGATGCAAAAATTAGGTGGCTGATCACTTTTCAAGGTTGGAAGTAAGGGAAAATGCTAAGCATGAGGTCGACATAGACAACTCTTTTCCCGATGAACAAGAGTTTGCAATATCTCTCAAACATACACCATGGTATGCAGATTTTGCAAATAACATTGTGTGTGGGCTGATACCGGATAAGTTGACCTTTTACTAGCAGAAGAGGTTCATGTTCGATGTTAAAAAGTACTTTTGTGATGAACCATACTTGTTTCGAGAGTGTGCTGACCATGTCATTAGAAGGTGTGTTTCGGAAGAAGAAGCGGTAGAAATTCTCCATGCTTCTCATACATCTCTAGTGGTAGGTCACCATGGTGGTATTCACATCGCCGCTAAAGTTCTCCAGATTGGATATTACTGGTCATCCCTCTACAAGGATGCACATGAGTTTTTAAAGAAATGATCTCAATGTCAACAACAAGGCGGAGTGTCTAGAAGACACGAATTACCTCTCAATCCTATTTTAGAGGTTGAGCTATTCGATGTATGGGGGATCGATTTCATGGGCCCATTTATGAGCTCATTTGGAAATAAATATATCTTGGTAGCTGTAGATTATGTTTCCAAATGGGTGGAAGCCATCACACTTCCAAACAACGAAGGAAAAAGTGTTGTCCAATTTCTGAAACGCTACCTCTTCGCAAGATTTGGCACTCCGAGGGCAATCATTAGCGATGGGGGGTCCCACATTTGCAATAGGTGGTTTTCAATGGCACTGAGCAAATATGGGGTGAAACACAAAGTAGCAACCCCATATCATCCCCAAATAAGTGGCCAATCGGGAAATCTAAAGGATTTTGGCAAAGACAGTCAATGCCAACAAAACTGACTGGTCTAGGAAACTCGATGATGCACTATGGGCATATCAGACCGCTTACAAAACACCTATCGGTATGTCTCCATATCAGTTGGTTTATGGTAAGGCTTGCTTTGTCCGTCGAGTTAGAACACAAAGCATTGTAGGCATTGAAAGCTTTAAATTTGGACTGGTCAAAAACTTCAAGGGAGAGGGTAGAGTAGTTGAACGAACTGGATGAATTTAGACTCAGATCGTATGAAAGTTCAGCCATCTACAAAGAGAAGATGAAAAAATGGCATGATGCTCAGATACTCAAGTAGGACTTCAAGGTAGGAGATTGGGTTTCGTTATACAACTCTCGACTTAGACTTTTTCCCGAAAAGCTCAAATCCAAATGGTCTGGACCTTTTAGAGTAATGCGAGTGTTCACCAATGGTGCCATAGAAGTTGAAGATTAGGAAGGACCTCCATTTAAAGTAAACGGTCAACGTCTAAAATTATTTTGGGGATTGTCAAGAGATTTCTTTGGTTGAGGTGGTGTATTTGGAAGACGCCTGAAGGCGTTGTTGCGTCGTGCCACGACGTTAACTAAGGCGCTGTTTGGGAGGCAACCCAAAACCCCTTCCATAAATAAAAAAATAATGGTGTGTTGTTTGTACATGTTAAAGTATGAGAAGTGTTCGAAAAAGTGAGGGATGACAAGCAATAGATCCAATCCGCGAGTTGTCGAAGGGGTCGGAGAATTTGACCTTGTCCACCATTTGACTCAAGACATCGTCAATATTGGAGTGTGTAAAACTCGGCGAGCTTTGGAAGTTATTGGCTAGTCGCCGACCATGTCGGCGATTACGATGGAAACCGCTATTTTGATCCCCCTTAAACCAGAGGTCCTGTAAATTTTGGTGAAAAAGCTAAACAGTCGGCGTTCCGCCGAGTGAGTAGGCGAGCTTGACTAATGTCACCGAATGGGCGAAAATGGTTTAAACGTATCAACTTCATTCACTCTCCCTCACTTTTTATCTGTCCAAACTCACACCCACAAGCTAGTTCCTATTTTGCATTTTTAGAATATTTTTTAGTGTTGATTTGTGCTCGGAGTTGGATTACATTGCCGCCTAGCATTTCAATCTTCTTTTAATCGGCACCAAAGGTTGGTTCCCATGCCCTAAGCTTCTTGTATTGAAATTTGTACTCAAATGAAATGGCATTAGGATATTCTGTGTTAATTGCATTTGAGGACGAATTGCTTTTATTGGTGAGGTAAGGCCCACCTTTTGTGTGCTACTTTTGTTCATGTTTTGTGTATATATTTGGGCCGTTCCTATTTTTTAAAATTTTGTTAAATACTTCTTTCTGTGTATGTTTGAGCTTATGGCTCCTTTTATTTTAAATTGCAAAACGATTTTGACCCTTCCGAATTTTTTTGAATTTTTTGAACATTTTTGCCACCTCTCATATGTTGAATGTGGTTGTTCTTTTGAAAAAAATTGAGTCTCGATTCCAATCAATACCGATGAATTGAATAGTGCTCTCAATCGAACGAACATGAATGCGTGGCTACGATGAGGCCAAATGAAGTTTCATAGACAATATGTGAACTCTTTGCATCTCGTTATGACTAGCCTATTATCGAATTGAGTCTCTTGTGATGACCATTGCACATTATGGAAAGTGTGGAGTCTTGTTTGACTTATAGTGTCAATGCTTAGTGTGATGAGCTTACCTGTCAACTATGTATGATAGATCCTAGAATTTGCCCCATTGCTCCGGTCAACTGAGTGATGCTATCTCTTGATATGATCTTAGGTAACTTCTACGAGTGTAAGCCAATTTGACGTATACCTCTTTTGTGACCTACCTTGTAAGCGTGTGATTTTCTCTTGAACACCCTTTGAGCCTTACCCTTCTTTGAAACAAACTTGATGAAAGCAATGACCTTTTCTTTATCCATCACCCATAATCCTCATGAAGTTGTGGTTAGTTGAATAGCCAACTTAGGCCAAAAGCCTAAGTTTGGGGTGTGGTGAAAAGATAGGGGAAAGTCGAGAAGTGCAAGGAAAGTCTCCTCTTACCCATGGTTTTGAGAAAAAATTGGAACCCCTCCATATAAAAAAAGAAAAGAAGAAAAGACAGAAAAGAAAAAGAAAAAGAATGAAAGAGAAAGTTGTGGAATAAAGTACTAAAGAGATTGGGTTCCCAAACAATCCATGGAAGGTGAATAATATGATGACTTATGAGCACTAAACAGAATTATGAAGGAAAATAAAAGGAAGTGTTGTGAGCACCACATTTCATGAGGATGAAAGTCACTGAGCCTAAATGACCATACCTTTGCACTCAGCCCCATTGCAATCCTTGAAAAGACCTTTTTGATCTTGAGTGAGCTGAAACAAATGTTGATTGGAAAATACGGGCAAACCTATGGGTCAAATTATGCATTATGTTCTTCTTTGCGAGTTT